ATGTTTGTATCCAAGTGCTACAACTGAGTTATACTGTTTTCTAATCTCCCAGACCTTAATTTTTGTATTTGTTTTACAGAGTATTGAGTTTCCTTTCTCACCTCTATTATATTAGGAAAGAAATGAGAGATGAATGGGTCAGATAGGAAGTAAAGAGGAGACAGCAAGTGTGTATATTAAAGGTTAATGGGAAAGAAGATAGGAGATTAAGTTGGAATTGAGAGGAAGTTTTAGTGGAGTGCTGAGAAGGAAATTGAATGGGACTAACATATGTTAAGAAAAAAAAAAAAAGAAGAAGAGACACAAAGAGCAACCTGAACAGAAAAGAAACATAAGTGCATATTTTTAAATGTGTTAAAGGAGACATCTTTAATGAACTTTTGCTTGTAGCTGATTTTTTTAAAAGAGTTAATTTTTAAAATACTTTTTAATGTTTTAAAATTTCAGAGTATTACAGGGTACACACATTTTGGCTACATAATTTTCTTTTGTACATTGTAAGTCAAGGTGATCAGTGTGCCTTTCACTAAGAATATGTGCATCGCACTGGTTAGGTATGAATTTAGCCTACCCCTCCTCTGCTCACCCACCTGCTTCATTTCCTCTGGGTTTTGTTTCCATATATATACTTAAGAGTTGATCCACTACTTCTATACTAATTTGGTATTGATTACAGGTGGTGCCACTGATTTTAAATGCTGCTGGAATTTTAGATTTAAACTTTCCATTTCAGGTACAGTGTAATTGCTCCATAAAGGAAGTGTACTTTTGAGCAGGACTGAAAAACAAGCTGGTACTATTTTATTGTAGAATATAGTATATACATAATATTCTTCTTAGTAAAGCATCACAAGAATGGAAAAGCAATTATCCAATATACTCAGTACTAATATGATGCTTGTAGATGATTTGATGCATGCCACACAGGAGAAAAACTCACTTCAATTAAAGTTGGGAGGTGGAGTAACTGGGATGGGGGGTGGGGTAATCTCAGTGAATGGGGTGGGGGTGTTTGGCACACCACTTGTGGGTAACCACGAGAGGAACTCTGCCTAACAAAATCAAGTCTTTGGAACTGGTTGTACCTTCACATTAACCTGAAATAAATTATTTTTCAAAAAGGAAAATTGGCCTGTGATATCTGATTGTTCATCAATCCCAGTATAAACATTGGGGATAAGACATTAATTACAACATGAAAATAAATCACCCAAATCACATTAAAAAATAGTGCATACACAATTAGTGAAATAGTATTTAAATATGTTATGTATAATACAGTATAAATAATTCTTTATGCAATATTCATATAATAAAATTGGATTTGACATGTTAATTAGCACAAAGCCTGTAAAGAAAATAAATGTTCTATGCCTTTGCTCATACTATGTGCTAACAACGTGATGTTGATCTCCAAAAACAAAATTCAGTACTATAAATAATTTAATAACATAAAAGCTTATTTCTGCAAGTTTATGCAATAGCATAAAACTAGGAGCCTGTATATTGCTACAGTACAATATTGAGAAATGTGTATAAGTGGACTATCTTAATTTCACTAGCATACAGGTGAAGAAAATGTAGCTGATTTAATTGTATGACATCTTTCAAGGCATGAGGTAATGGTATTTTTGATGAATGTCTGAAATAGATGCCTGGTAAGTTAGTCCGTATCAGCGTATCTGCAGGACAACCCAGAGGACAGTATACGTGAGTGAGAGGATCCAGTGTCCAGCATGCCTGGCAAGTCACTGTTCTGTAGCAAGGGTCCTTAGCATCCTGCCACTGATCTATGTCACGTATCCACTAGCATACACTTTCCTCGCCCAGATTTCAAGTTAGATGTATAAAAATTTTGGTTTTTTTATTTCAACTTAAAATCAGGGTAGAAATTAAATTTTTAGATTATGTTGTTGTCACTTTCAGGGCAAAGTTCCAGTTGTAAAAAAGCTGCTCGTCCAGCTGTGTTATACACCCTCCCAATGTGCATAGTAGGTGAGATCCCACCACCTGCCCTCCCTCCTTCTGCCGATCATCTTCCCCCTCCTCCCCCGTATCCCCCGCATCCCCCTGCTCCCCCTGCTCCTGTACTAGACTATATTTGTGTCTTATTGTTCATATGCGCATGCAATTGTTTATATATTGCTTTCATATTAGTATTGAGCACATTGAATATTTTTCTTTCCATTCTTGTGATACTTTACTGAGATGGAGACTTTTCATGTTTTACATTTACCTGGATGGAGTTGTATAGAAATTTTAATTCAAACTTGGAGTCCAGTTCTAGAAGTTATAATCTTGATCAAGTTACTTTATTTCTTTTGCCTCAATGTAGATATCTGAAAAATACAATAATTTCATAAATTTGTTATGAATATTATATAACTGACACACAATATATCTAAAGTACTTAAAATAGTGTCTGGCATATAGTAAGTACCAAATAAAAGTCAACCAAAATATGAAGTCCATAAAACTATGCTTTTTCTATCTAGTTTACTGTGTTATCTCAAATACCTATTACATAATATGGCTCCATAGTATTTGTTAAATGAATGAACAAATTTGATATGTAGGCTTCTAAAGATGAGATCATGAAATACAGAAAATAATATTCTGCCTGGCCTACTTAGCATTTCTATGCATTATTAGAAGTTAGTAAAATAGAATTCTGTCATATGCTTTGGTCTCTTGTAACATTAGTTACATTGCATCAATGAATCAGGACCTGTTCTTGCTTGGAAAATTGATAAGACATAGTTTATGAGTCTGTAAAAATTAAGGTTTGTTCAGATGGGAGCAGTTATTATAATGACAGAGAGAATGTAGAATCATACATACACCATTTACCACCTGTGTGATTTTGCTGTTAATCTGTCATGTTTTCTCATCTATAATATTGGCAAAGTAATTATACTTATCTCTTATCTTAGAGGGTTCTCTTTGAGAACAAAATGAGATCATTTATATGATGTGCTTTGCAGAGGGTGTAGTATATAGCAAATACTAAAAATTTTGCTTTCAAATATAACATTCATTCATTTATTAATGCAACAATTTTCATTTTCATTGAAGTACCTGTCATACAAAATATAGAAACCCAAATAAGACACGACTCCTACCCCTAGGAACTTCCACTGCAGTTACTGTAGGGGAAAAAGTGAAAAGATAATTGCCAAATGGTGAAATTGCTCTTACAGAGAGGTAACAGAAAACTATAAGAGTACATGGAAATGGAGCGTGACTCTATAGTCATCATGGTGGAGATCAAGAAAGCCTTTCTCAAAGACTTGTCTGACTGGAGTGTTGAAGCAAGAGTAGGTTTAGATGGAGATGGGCGAGCCACCACAATGCAGAGCATGGAGAAGAGAGAACACATGGACAGTCTTCAGTAGTTTGATAAAATATTCAGCATAGCTGGGGGAATAAAAACATGGAGTGATGCTTCCATTTTCTTTTAAAAATAATAAGAGCAATAACATATTGCATAGTTCTTTAGACAGTATAGAGCATATCTATCTATCTATCTATATCTATCTATCTATATCAATATCTATATCCATATATATTACGTCTCTTGAATTCTTACTCTAAAAATCCAAGAAGGAAGAAAGGTGCATATTATTTTCTGTATTTTGGGCATGGGGACATTAAATCAGATTTTAGAGACTGGCAGTCACATATGCAAGCCTTGATTCTTCTTATGTTTAGCTTCTGATGAACTCTGAGCCAAGGCAGAAGCAGACAGTTAGAAGTAACGGTCCCCTGATCTTTCTCCTAAGGGTAATGGTGCTCAGCAAAATACTTTGTGTGATCTTGGCGTTGATAAAGACTTGATTTATAATTGTAAATTGTAAATTGTATGATTCAGTTGTATGAATGGTTTTGCTAATGAGCACCATTTACAAAATCCTACTGAGGTAAAGTTTACAAGTATTGTGCCTGGTACATGGTGTTTAATATGAGTTTGTTGACTGAATGAGTGATGGAATGACGCCATAGCTATCTGAATCCTTGTTAGTAGTGTTATCCCAGATACAGTTTTGCAGATAAAATTTAAAAAAAAAACCCAAACATTTCTTCATTACATTTATGAACAAATGATTTGACAGGCAATATATTTGAAAGTTTAGTGTTTTGCATTTTCATGAGGTTAATCTGTTTTGTTTGTTTTGTTTTGTTTTTGAGACAGACTCTTGCTCTCTCCCAAGCTGGAGCTGGATTGTGAAGTGGCATCATCAGAGCTTACTGCAGCCACAAACTTCTGTGCTAAACCAATCCTGCTGCCTCAACCTCCAGAGTAGCTTGAACTAAAGGTGTGTGCCACCACCATACTGGCTAATTTTACTGGTTAATTTTTTATAGAAATGGGATCTCTCTCTTTTTCCCTGGCTGGTCTCAAACTTCTGGCCTCAAAAGATCTTCATACTTTGGATTCCCTAAGTGCTTTCTTACAGGCATGAGCCACCTGCACCCAGCCTTACGAGGCTAATGTTTATTAATTAATTAATTTATTTATTTAGCCAAGAAATATTTAGTACAGACCTACTATGTGCTAGGCATTGTGCCAGACACAACATATATCCTTTTATCTAATCAGATCTCTTCTTACAACAACCCCATGAGAATCATCTCTTTTGCTATTTTTTGGAAATGACACTCTAAGAAAGAAATAAAATTTTTCTCAAAGTCAGCACAACTAACAAATGGAACAACTCAAATGTCAATCCAAGGTTCCTTTACCTCCAGAGTCCAGGTATGATTTGGTTTTAGTATAACAATTCATTAAATTTACATATGGTAATTTTATAGAATTCTGTTAAAGTTATATGCATTTTCTACATGAATTATATTAATTCTTTAAATGGAGATACTCTCTTCCTTAGAATATGGGATTGAAGATGAACATTTTTTTTAGTATAGTATTTTCTCTTTATTTTTATTGATATTTTATAAATTATTCATGGGTGTACTTAGACGTCTGCATAAAGCATTTATCTAGCTTTGTACAGTGGCAGTATCATAGCCAGTGAGGTTTATCTGAGGCACAATTATTGTTAATTGAAAACCTTTCCCAATACCCTGCTGTGACGACTTGCAATGTAGTCAGTACTGGAAATTTTTGATGATCTCTATGGAGACTCAAAAAGAAAAAATAAATTAATTAATAAAACATTCACCTATAGTGTCATTCATTAGAACCTCAGAATCCCTTTTAAAAATTTAAGATTTCAATTTTGAGTTGAAATAATAAATAAATAGAACAAGTCATTCTTTTGGTAAAAATCTTTGTATTTAGTGGAAAAAACTAACCTTATTAAATGAAATTTAATAAGAATGACTTATTATATTGTTATATTGCTACTGGGGAACACCAGTATATTTTTGGTTTTACCATAAATAAAAAATTGTCATACAGCATATGATTATGAGCATTGGAAGGTGGCAATTGAAGCTTTGAAATGGGTTAAAAATGTAATCTGTGTGTCTTGTTTAATAGGGTAGATTAAGACCCAAACTTCCTTTAGACTAAGACTAAACAAAGTTCTGGAAGAAGGTTAAAACTCAAGCATCATTCTCTGCTCTATAACACTAGCTTACATTTTTGTTCTATTTTTCAAGTTTCACTTTTAGTGTATCAAAAAGGGAACACCTATAATTACAACTTTAATCTTTCCATATGAATCATGAAGTTATGAGTTTTCTATTTTCCATTTCTTTCTCAAATTTGTTTTCAGAGAAGTACACCATGGCTTTAGATGTACCCTGACAGCCATTTAGAAGACTTCTGTACCTGCTTCTGCTGTATATAAATCCCTGTTTATGATCGGAAGATGATTAGAAATCTGAACATTTTCTATTTGGGGAATAGGAATAGGCTGAACAATTATGAGGCTTTGATTAATACTACTGATTCTTTAATGGCCTATTTTATATCCTGAACAATTTGCTCTCTTTTAAAAGACTGTGGTTTTGATAATTCACATAGCATAGGGAGAAAAATGCACAGAAGATCTCTTGTCTCACAAAAAGAAATGGGTGGCTGTAGAATGCCAGTTGCATGTATTACTGAACTGTTACAAAGGAAAGGAAATTAGCCACTCCGAATAGATATGTCTCTGTAGCCTTGTATCCGCATTCTAATATCCACAGAGTTTATCTTAGTCTGAATGGAGCTTTAAGTTATTAATTGTTTTAATGATTTCATTGATTTCTGTTAATCTAGGTAATGTGCCTTACTCAGTAGTTTATTTTGCTTTTCAATTAACCTTTTACTTTTGTTATATCATTTTTTATTAAAAACAAGGGTTTTATCTACATTTCAATGATATGCCTATCTTAGTATATTATGAATTATATTTGGCTATCTGGACGGTAATTTTCCTGAATACCGCTGGGTGATGGCAAACCACAAAGGCTCAGTACTTTTATTACAGATTTTCATTAATATGAAATGTTTTAAAAGGGTATTTGAGTAAATGCTAGAATTCTTCATGTATAACTAAATACTTTTAAAAAAGGTTTTGAGGAATATATAGTGAAAAAATGTAATGTTTTAATTTAAGGTTTTATATCTCAAGTTTAGGAATAGCATTGTCATTCTAAAATAATTTTTAAGTTGGTTTAAATTTGTTCAATTATTAAATTAATAAATGCCCAAACATGTTATAAAACCTTTGAAAATGTAAGTGTTTAAAATAGTGTATATCATAAGAGAAGATGCATTTTTAAAATATTTCACTAGCTTATATAGATGATTTCATATTTAAATACATTATGCCTAATCAAGGTCTTAATTTACTATGAAAGATATAAAATTACCTCTGTGTTCATAAAGATATTAATGGTCCCAGGGATGCTGAAGTAGGTTTTTCTCCTTTTCATTTCTGGGAAGTCACATTCACATATAACTTGTGTACCAATTAAAAACTGTTAATGACAAAACATTGTAATTGATTAGTCTTTGTATGTTTACAGCTCACTTTAATTGCTGAAAAATGCCATTTGTCAGCTTCATGTTCTATTGACAAAGCTATTGATTTATCTGAATTTGGCTTTGTCTTGTCTCTCATACATAAAACTCACATATGCAGTTCAAATGGGAAATGACTGTATTGATTTCCTTAACTTGAGCCCAAATGGTAAAGATTTTTGGATAAGCTTTCTCATTACTTAAGCCAAAATCAATAAGAAAGAGCATCTTTTAATGAAAGAGCAGTTTGAGCAACGTACTTCAGAAATAGGGTCCTGTTCATTCTTTGCTTTACACATCGATCTCCTAGGTTCCTTAAGTTAGGTCCAATTGGTTGACATTGTGGTTTGTCTTTGTGTGTAAACTTGCAGCTTCAGAAAAGAGATGAGCTACAGAGACAGTGGAAAGAAACTCTCTCCCTGAGAAAGAAGATTGTCCCCGAGCAGGTATAAAATCTTGTATTGAAATGCAACATGACTTACAAATATACCACGGATTATTAAACCTCTTAAATTCATGCTTATATATTTTCTGATGGCACAATTCTATATCTTCATTGGCTTATTATTTTAATAACTATGGGCATATCATCTGCACTTATACCAAACATTTTAATATTTGCTCTTAGTAAACAAAAACTTTCTGCTATTTCTGTAGCTTATGTTTATAATATGAGATAATCTACTGAAACAGGTTATTTCAAGACCTTTTTTCTGTATTATTGTAGTGTCAAATTTCCTGTCTTCTGCAGAAGCACAGAGAGTAAGCTACAGAAATAAAATGCCTGTTCTGAGGAAGAACAGGATGAACTGAACATATAAAACAAGTTTATGTGGACAGGGCAGACATCAGGTACTGTACTATGATATCATTAACTTCTGTGAACTACATAAATTAAGCTGATTATGCCTTCACTTAATTAACTGAGAATGACCTATTGATGTATAGGCTAGAGACCGCTTGCTGCACTGTACTTAATTTATTGGTTTTCAATTAGTACTTCTCTTGCTTGGAATTATTGAGGAAAAGATGTTTCTTTACATCTATCCCTTGCGTATTTTTGTGCATAGATGGTTTGTATTCTCAGCAGCTTCTTTTTTCTGTCAGCAATGCTTAGGTTAATGTAAGTAGTTTTTGCTTACTGTTACATACAATTTGTTTTCCAGATGAGATAAATACACAAATGAATTATGCTTTTTAATGTTATGAAATCTTTATAAATAATCATATATTCATTTCAAGAAGCTCCAAATTTTTTAAAATTAATTTTTGCTAAAACTAGAGAATGGTTTGGTGAATCAATCTCAGGGGAGAATGTTTTTGGTAAATATTTAGGTTTTAAGAAATTTTTACTTGACCCATAATAGACTGGGTTTTGTTTGTTTTTGTTTATAATTTAATTTTTATTAAAGTGTAACTGTATACATTTATGAGGTACAATGTGATGATTTGATATACAATGTGGAATGCTTAAATTGATTAACATAACCATCATTTCACTTATTTTTTGTGGCAAGACATTTATAATCTACTCTCTATTGCTTTTAGGTGTACCATTATACTGTGCACGTTAGGTGAGATACCACCAAATGCCCTCCCTGCTCCCTTCCCTCTCCTCCTTCTTACAGGACTAGATTTGTGTTTTATCATTCTTATGAATGTGTAAGTGATTATATATTGGTTTCATAATACTATTGAGTAGTTGGATATTTATTTTTCCATTCTTGAGACACTTTACTAAGAAAAATGTGTTCCAAATCCATCCAGGTAAACATACAAGATGTAAAGTCCCCATTTACATTATGGCTGAATAGTATTCCATGGTATACATACATCATAATTTGTAATCCATTCATGGACTGATAGGCATTTGGGCTGCTTCCACAACTTGGTAATTAAAAATTGGGCTGCAATAAACATTCTGGTACAAATTTCTTTGCTCTAAAATATTTTTTGTTCATCTGGGTATGATGAACAGAATTGTGGAATCAAACAGTAGATCAACTTTTATTTCCTTGAGAATTCTCCATACTTCTTTCTAAAAGGTTGTATTAGTTTTCAGTCCCACCAGCAGTGTAGAAATGTTTCCTTTTCTCCACATCCACACCAACATCTGTAGTTTGGGGATTTTTATGATGTGGTCTAATCTTACTGAAGTTAGATGATATCTCAAAGTGGTTTTGATTTGCATTTCTCTGATGATTAAAGATGATGAGCAGAGTCTTACTCCATTGCCTGGGTAGAGTGCTGTACTGTCATAGCTCACAGCAACTTCTAACTCTTGGACTGAAGGGATCCTCTTGCTTCAGCCTTTGGATTAGTGGGGATTATAGATGCATATTACACACACACCCCTCTAGTTTTCATATTTTTCTAGTAGAGATGGGGCCTCACTCTTGTTCAGGCTGTTCTCCTGAGCTCAGGCAATCCACTTGCCTCTGCTCCTGAAGTGCTGGGATTCTAGGCATGAACAACCATACCCAGTCTTAATTGAGAATTTTTTAAAAATAGAAATATCATAGTATAAATCATTACTCTTAATTTCTTGTGATGAGACTAATGTATATGACAATACCTTCGTACAAAATTTATTTTTCTAATTTTGAAGTTTTATATTTATATACTGATTTTATGATGCCTGTTATACTTTATTATGTTGCCCTCTGCTATACAGCTTTCATAATCCATTAATCAAAAGATATTTACTGGACCATTCTTATGTTCTTGGTATTTCCACTTCATCAGAGATTGGTTGTCTGATTTTAGGTATTATAATTATTTTGAATTATTTACTATTGTTAGTTATTGTAATAGGGTCAATCAAAATATGAAAGTAAACAAAATATAAAGAGTGTATGT